TAAATGTCAAACAATTGTTGAGATTAGAGTCGGTTTGCAATCAATTCATGGATTGTGTCGGAAGTGCTCTCCAGAGGAAGAATGCATTGAGTGTTGGATTCAATCGTTTAGTCCATAATAAAGATTACCATTCATTCAGAGACGGAGACATCAGTGAAGCCATTGTCCGGAAGTCACGAAATAAATACCATTTACTTGAAAGCAAAGACACATTGAATTCAATACTCGGGAAGTGTTTGAATATAAAGTCATTGTATTTAAGATATAGTCTTCTGAATGAAGAGATAATATCAGTGATTGTGAGCCGATGTCCACAACTCAAGCGCTTGTATTTGAATGACATTTTTACCTTTGAATCAAACGAAAAGTTGATGAACGGATGGAAACCATTATTGACTCAATTGTCTCATTTGACTCTTGAAAGAAAGGTTGACTTTAATATCATTCAACTTTTGCCACAATTATCATCACTTGAATCCATTGAATTCAATTATGTTATTAATAACAGCATCGATGAAATGTCTGAATATTTGCTACAAAGTATTCGTAGCCTTAAAATAGAAGATCGAAAAAGACATGAGTTATCAATGGATGTACTGATGAAGAGATGTCCGCATTTGGAAGTGCTTTCAATATATGAAGACTGGATTCTTGACTGGAATGAGGAGTTTATGAAAATTTGCACTCATTTTAAACTCAAGAGTTTGAAAATTCCTGGAAATTTCTTGTCTGTCGATGTCTTTGTCGAAAACATTTCAAAACTCAATGAATTGACACATTTATCGGTGTATAATATCATGGATTTCAACACAAATGTCATGCAATCGATGCCTAAACTAAAGTCTTTACATTTAGGACCGACTGATTTGTGTCCCGAAATGTTTAGTAAATTAAACAAAATTTTCCCAAACGTTAAGGATTTACGTCTCATTAATATCGCCATTGAATGCGAGTGCAATGAAGACAATGCGGGCACACAATGTCTCTCTAAATGTATGCAATTTGTGTCACAATTACCACAACTCAAGCGATTGTGTATTGATATCATCACTAATGCTTGTGATTTGCGGTCTATTGGATCTAATGATATGAAACTATTCACTGAACTAAACGTCTTGTCTTTGAAAGGATATGAAAATATTGAGGAATTGACTGCATTTGTATTGCATTGCATTGAATACAGGGTTTCGAAGAAGTATTTCAAACTAGAATTGGATTCAAATATTGTGGACTCACTTATCGATCGCTTAAATGATATAAATGTTACGATTCCTAAGAATATTGTTATTAAAACCACTGAATGTTTTAATAATTAAAATTCAAATTAACGAAAACGTCTTTTACTTAAGTTTTAAATATTTTAATTGATATCTAATACACGCGAAAACCTAAAATACAATTTTTTTTTTGTTTTTGAATTAATTATAAATTATTAATTTTACACATTTTTATAATCAATAAATTTTTATAAGAAATGCCATCAAAATTGCTTTCATTGCTCTTATTATTGACAATTTAATTGAAAAATAAAATGACTTTAAATAATAATAAATTGTTTAATAAATAAATATTTAAAAAGTATAAATTGTGCGCTACATTCTTTGATGCATTTAGGCTTGCCTAATTATATTTAATAATCAACATGAACAATTTAAATCATTAGAAAAATAACTATTCATAATTTATAATAACAAAAACCTGACATTCAATACAACTTTAGGCTATTTTTGCGCAAAAAGTTTTAAACATTTTTTGGGTCAAGTGTTGGTTTGATTGCAACCTATCACTAAGCATGTGATGGGTTACGCAAAAAGGGCGTAACTCACGTCTCATATCTCACACTATATCCAATGGCAAGCCATGTATTATAAGCCCTTTTAGCGTTGGTTTCCATGTAAACACACCAAACGCTATACCAAAACGTGTTTTTATTGCCGTTTATTCACATTTAAATGCATTTAATTGTAATTAAATTACAATTTAACTAATATTTAGTTACTTTTATTCAACGTTAATGTTTTGTTTATAACAATTACTACATAATTAGTGTATAAATAATTTATTTTAATTATTTGTTTACCAAAACAAGCGATGATTTTGAGCACAAAATTAGTTAATTTATGCAAATTTCACACTATTTTAATGCAAACAAAATTAATTAATTGTAATAAATATTTATTAAAGTTTTACTCAAATAATAGTAATAATAATAATAACAGCAATAATAACAGTAATAATAATAGTTATAATAATAATAACCATAACATCAGTAATAATAACAACAGTAATCACAACAACGATAGAAAGGACACGAAGTTTGATGTCTTGAGAGCACATCCGGAGGACAACCACTACCACAGCAACAAATGGCAGACAATGGGTGACAACAATCAGACCTCCGGAGTCACCGATGATCTACTCCGCGGTCTTTACAAGTTTCAAGACTCGGACGACTCGACCGTACGGTTAATGAACGGCCGATCGTTGGCCGACATGTCTGCCACCAACTCGGCTGTGGATCAGCTCTTTGCCCAATCGAGGCATTGGTTTGATATGAACGCCGGCTCTGAGACCAGCGATGGCGGCGGCGGCGACACTGACGAGACAGAGGGCACAGAGAGGGCGCGTAATCACCGGCGAGACGACTGGTTTGACATACTGTCTAAAGCGGAACAAGTGGTCAAATATCCGACCAGTTTTCTTAGCCTACGCTTCCTCCTGAAGGATGAGATTAGTTATTTGGCCATTCATTTGAAGCGTCTGATCGACACTAAGCACCCGTTGCTACAGACGGCCAAGTATTGGATCCGTTGCGATGAATATGCAATAGATATATGTCTTAATACCTTTGTTTGTGTTTTGCAGATCAATACTGAACGCCAACCAACAGATCCGCGGTCTTGTGGTACTACTGGTGTCCAAAGCGTACGCCTATCCCAAACATATTGCCGACAATTTCGATACGGAGACCAATCGGCTGCAGGCGGTGGCCAGCGGTCAGCGAAAGTTGGCCGAGATTACCGATATGGTGCACGTGTCACAAGTGTTGCATAAGGGTGTTGTCGATCTGCCCAACGGGGCCCCGAAGGACGGCGTCGGCGGTGGTATTGACACTAAACTTCACGAAGACCTCAATTTGGGTAACACTATATCGGTATTAGTCGGCGATTTCCTGTTGGCCCAGTCGTCCAGAGGTCTGGCGCTGATCCGCAATCCATCGGTTAGTGACATATACTGTCCGTCAGTTTTTACGGCTCGTCTATTGTGGACACCCTTTTTGATGACGTGTTTTGTGTTTGTTTGTAGTATTGATTGTTAATTATAATCCATAGATAACGGGTTTAATAGCGAAAGCGATCGGACACTACTCGGAGGCCGAGTTCTTGAGATCAGGTCTGATGAAAGTGGAGAACACATTCGAAGCGCTGGAGAAGTACTGTTATCTAAGCGGCGGTTCACTACTGGCCCACAGCTGCCAATCAGCGATACTATTGGCTCATTACGATCAACAGATCCAGACTGAGGCCTACGATATTGGCAAACACATTGGTATAGCGTTTCAGGTATTCCTCCGAGTCTTTTGATGATATAAATGATATGAATTGATAATTGATTTCTTGGCCGCAGTTGTCGGACATGTTATACCGTTTGCTAAACGCCGACAATCGGCACAACAGTTTCGATGACAATATCGTTACGTTTGACACGAATTCAATCAAAGAGTTATTGGAGTCGAGTATAAGAAAAGCGATTGATTTGATCGACAAACTGGATGAATGTGAGGCCAGGGATGCGCTCAAAGACATTGTCTCCAATATAGTGAATGTTGAAAATGTTAATTCATTTCATTGATTAGTCCTGTAATTAGATTTCTAACCGGTTTTTTAGTTATCAAAGTATTATTTTATTGAATTGTAATTATTATTAAATTTTGTGTTGAGAATTAATTATAGAGTTTTTGCCACACATTTAAATCAGTTATCATTTTATTGTTTTAGATTTATAATGAAATGGAGATATTTTTGTTAAACGTATATCTAATATAACGTAAAGTCATTTAATTAAATAATAAGTAAATTTAGTAATTTAAATAAAACTATTCAAGAATTATTTTGATTTATTTATTAATATTGGAAGAGCTATAATAAATTAAAATCAAGTTAAATTTTAATGGTTGTTATGTTATAGATCGTTTAATTTTTAAATTTAAAATTTAGGTGGATTAGTTAACTATAAAATATTTTAATAAACATAAGCTAATTTATCACAATTTATTTATACAATCAATTCATAGATGTCAAGCACTGCCTTTATGGTGAAATATACTGTGTATTATTTTTACCAGAATATACAATACTTACAAATTGTTAGGAAAATTATACTTAATTTTTAACTTATTTTTTCTTAGTTTAACTCAAAATTAGAATGATGATTTAGCACTACTTTTTGTACAATCTATTTAATAAATTAAAGCATAATACCAATGCAAACAATTAAATTTAAATAAATCGAATTGCAAACATTTATTCATTTAAATTTTAAGTATATTTCAAACAACTTATAATAATTAATTTTTATTATTATAGGTATTAAAAGTTTTGCTTAAATTACTAGATAGGAAATTATTACTATTTTATTACCATATTTCACATTTGAATAACATTAAATGCATTTTTCAAACAATTTAATACATTATAATACTGTTATTATAAAAGTACAATATAACAATACAATTGACATTAAAATTCAATAGATTATAACAATAGTCCTAAACGTATGAATCCGTACACTATATAAAGCGGAAGATATAAATATAAACCGATTGTATTAATAAATAAATTAATATTATTGTTATATAACGTATTAGCCGAGAGTTTGAGGGACTTTATTGTGATTCAGCGAATTAATGGACCGTTAAATAAAAGGCTTATATAATCGTCTAATTCTCTATTCACTCATCCTTTCCTCTCTCTCACTATACAGTATATCTGACACTGTATTGTGAGTAACCATAAGGCGCTATACTGTACATCTCAATAGTGTACAAATAGTATACACCAATAGTACTGTATGGCTGAAGTGTT